CTGTCTGTGAAGGGTCGAGTGTACGCTGCAGCAGTTCGGCCAGTCCTGCTCTACGGTGCATAGACTTGGCCACTAAAGCAAAAGGATAAAAATCGATTGTCGGTGTTCGAACACCGCTGTCTACGTAACATTGCACGTGTCTGGTGGGGTAACCGGACGAGTAATGCTGAGGTTAGGCGTAGAGTTTTAGGCAGTCGCGGTCGTCCACTAGAGGAAGTGATCGACCTTCATAGATTACGCTGGTTGGGACATGTGCTAGGCATGTCACCAGAGAGGTTGCCACGGCGAACAATGTTTGCCAAGGCTGGTAGCGATTGGAAAAAAACAAANAACCAGGAGACTAGGTCACATAGGCCCCGTTAGACTTCCTGGCTTTGGACCTCGGGATGATGGTCACCGATGGTTAGAGACACTGAGTGATATGGCTGTGTCGCAAACAGTGGCACTCGTGCATTCACTCGTTATTTTCCTTACACCACTCTATATGTATTCCCCATCTTCCGCTTGAATTTGCTTCGACATTCCAATCTTCATTTCGCTCTTTTATCCAAAAGGGAAACCAAAAGACAGCCATCAAAACCGACGCATGAAAGTGCATGGTTGTTGGTTGTAAAAAACTGAAACTGAAAACTTTCGCTAGACCCTGCTTTGTATTGTTCTGTCTGATTGCCTCATATATATAAAACCTTGTCTTTCTGTATCTGCAATTATAAAAACACAAGCTTGCGTGATTTACACATTATATTTTCTTGTTTCCAGATGATTTCGTTTTCGACACCGGTAAAGTGGCGATAATTATTATTTGAAGTGATATCCGTGTAAGAAATTTAAAAATATTCTCAAAACGTTCCCAAAACCATATTAAATTAGGTCTGAATAAATTTTTACCGCGTGAAATTCAACCACTGTACAATTATGCATCAATTACCGCTAAATATGTCACATCTTACTTTTATTAACAATCTGATATCATTCCCTCTCTCTGTTTTTACTTACTGTTTCCTTTCTGAAGTGACCAACGGATGGCGATTTGAGCAACCGTTCGTCGAATATTCACCGCAAGCTCTTTCAACTCCTCGTTCCCCAGTAATTGAGCTGAACCACCGGCTAATGCCGAGTGTGCCTGGAAATGAATTGGCTTCATTGGGAATAGACGCGTGCACAATCGACGCAGCGGGTTCTCAGTTCCCTCGGCGCCCAACAAGGGATGACATTCGTACTAACGTTGGAGTGATTCAAATGGAAGAAAAGTTGACCATAAGTCCGAAAATTTGAAGGACATTAATCAGGAGGGAAAGAAACACTTTCAAACCACCAGCGATCACCTCAATCCTTTTGATTGTATGAGAAATATAAATATTTGCGTGAATTGAGGATTGTGCGCGAAGGCGGAGTCTGTAGAATGATCAGTTCAAGTCAATGTCACTTATCTCTAACACTACTCACAAGTAACTGTGATATAAATGTGAATTACCAAAAATAGATCCTTCACTAATTTCATTGAAAGATATATTGCGAGACACCCAATTGTGTTTTACTGTTCCGCGGTCTTCAAAAGGGCCCGGTTGTGATGTGCATTTATGGTATTTCTTGGGTAATTTGATACGCGTTCCGTTTTCGTGACGAGAATAATTTTTACTGAAAAAACATGGAGCAAAACCAATCACCGGGATTATAACTGAATTGCCCGGTTTCTCCCAAGCGATCAACTGTCGGCAGTAAAAGCGCAGTTCAACGGCTAAACTTGTTTTCTGTGATTCTTAAACTGGTTAATACATCACAATTTATATAACAACAATTATTATAAAAAAACAGGTGGAAAATCAATGATTGTTAAAATGGGCATCTTCTGTCGTTGATGTTATTGTTTTATGTCTCGCTTTCACAAAACCGAATTCTAGTATAGGAACCTACGCTTGGTCCGTGTTACTCTTGTTTTTGCCACCCGAGGACAGGATTCTTGCTTCTGCAGTCTCATTCTGTGTGTGTACCTGTTTACGTGTTCCTGGGGATCAGCATATGTCGGCCGCACGAGCCTATCTGCGAGAGTTCGGGAACATCATCCGGCCTAGCTGAATACTAGTGTAGTTAAAACTATTACAAGTGCCACAGTTTCAAACCACGTTCAGTCCGATTACACAGTGAGTGTGACTGAAGCATTTCGGCCTCTCTACCGTGTTCGGGGTCGCAGATCACAGCGGATTAGAAACCGCATCCTAGCCACTGCAGAGGCGGTCGGACTTTGTCTACTTCGTCTCCTCTTGTGCACCCCAAAAAAATTGTAAAGTCACTCAACCTACCGTGGCCCTCCACCTCGCATCCCCAGCCTTTCTCCCCACCCAGTCTCACTCCAAGTCACACATGTAACACGGACCAAGCGTAAGTTTCGATGTTAGGATCAGCTATGTCCGTTTTGTGAAACTGAGACAGAAAAGAACAAAAACAAAAATCTCCATTGGAATAATCATTTATTTTGTTCATTCTTCTCTATACAAAATGATATTTTTCACTCAGGGTGAATGTTCTACTCACAGTTAGAAAACCGCGAAAACATTACAACTTTATTATTGCTATATCAAATATGATATACAGTTCATAATCAAGGAGTCTAATGTAACTGGTATTCCGCTAAAGGGGGGCTTTCGTTAAGTCGATACACTTGTCACTTGGACTGTCCTGGTTAGCGCGTTGCAGTTTCCTACTATAAGCTTAGAGACTCAACTGAAATCCAGGGTGTCGTGGCAAGACGTGTCAGACCACAATTGAGTAAGTCAGCAGAACGCAGAGCATTCTTAAAAGTTACCAATGCTGTTTACTGTCATCGGTTGGGGTCAGTCCTAGCTTTTCAGTCGCGGCGCGATCTGAAAGACAGTTACCAGTTGTGACTGAGAAAAGCGCATTTATCGACTGACTATAATTTTTCTCGAAAAATAGTTCTTTAGAAAATAATGTGCTTTGGTTTTTTTGACGCGGGGAGGGGGTAAGAAATAAAGCCCTGGGAATGGCTTGGTTTGAGTGGATATTCGTTTTAACCGTGCTTTTCTATCCAGTAAGGAGTAATGCTTCATCTAACATTGTTTTATACATTTCCATTGACCAGTTAAAATTTGTTTTGCAGTTTATTGTTACCAGGAGACAAAAGTAAATTCAATATATTCAAAGAAAAGTTTTACAAACGAGTTTTCTTGTTTACTCTTTATAAACGCAGTTTAGCGAAAAAGATTATTTTCAAATGGCTAATACGTCCCAATTTATATGACATCATTTGATTTAGAAAAAAGAAACAAATTAATGATTATTCAAATGGGGATTTTTGTTATTTTTTTCTGTCTCAATTTCACAAAACCGGGTATGGCTGATCCTGCCATCGGAACTTAAGCTTGGCCCATGTTAATTGTGTGATTTGAGCGGTGGGCTTGGGAGTGGAACGAGGTGGGAGGCCACGGTAGGTTGAGTGACTTTACAATTTTTTTGGGGTGCACAAGAGGAGACGAAGTAGACAAAGTCCGACCGCCTCTGCAGTGGCTAGGATGCGGTTTCTAATCCGCTGTGATCTGCGACCCCGAACACGGTAGAGAGGCCGAAATGCTTCAGTCACACTCACTGTGTAATCGGACTGAACGTGGTTTGAAACTGTGGCACTTGTAATAGTTTTAACTACACTAGTATTCAGCTAGGCCGGATGATGTTCCCGAACTCTCGCAGATAGGCTCGTGCGGCCGACATATGCTGATCCCCAGGAACACGTAAACAGGTACACACACAGAATGAGACTGCAGAAGCAAGAATCCTGTCCTCGGGTGGCGAACATAAGATCAGTCTGGACATGAAAACAACACGTTATTTTGCAGCATGGAATGTATTCTCCAACGCAGTTCTTAGTTTGCGGCTAACCAACTCCGGAATTGTATTACCTGTGAATGGGAAATAGACGTATACTGATTTCTTCTCTATGTTTAAAAGTCTTTTTCTCCGACGGTTATTTCGTAAAATGCTAACCACAACACGTTCTGGATGACCGTTCTGTAGGAAAACATCGCGGGTGAATGATAGTTCCGCATTCATGGTATCATCAATGCAACTTTTCACCGCCTTTATTAGCAAACACTGATTCAGATTTGTCTTTCGCTTGACTGTCACAAAGCTTTTGAAAGGAAAATACAGGCCGCTCCAAGTAGGGATTCCTACAAATCAATCTCGGAATGGAACCATCTGTGCAACGCTTTAACCAGATATCGAGAAAACCACTCCCGCCATTAACCTCTTCTACGTAACTGAATTTGATGCTAGGATGAGCGAAATTAAATATCCTGAGCAAGATGGACACCACGATGTTACTGTCCACAAAACATAGTATGTCGACAGCATAAAATTTGTACAGCTTACATTGCTCGATTGTGGACATCAAAACTATATTCCCTGGCTTGTTCATGAACAAATCCGCAAATAGAGGATCGAGCGGGAGATCCCATTGCTACACCAACCCTGTGGCGATAGATTTCGTCATTGAACTTAAACTGAACATTCTGTGTAGAAAAGTATAGTAGCTGTTTTAAGTAATCCAGGGGTATTGCAAATCTTGATACAATTTTCACATACAAATTCAGTGGTTTCTGCGATAGGAACACTAGTGAACAGCGAGCTAACCTCCATCAATATCATTCGTTGGCCATCAATATTTACGTTTCCGATTAGATCTATCAACCACTTCACAAATTAGCATGATTAAATATAATCCTTGTTCACGCTGACAGACACCGAGTTGTTTCCTAAACACGAAATGTTAGGCTTGTATTGTAATCCGTTTAATGGTTAAACGCAAGTCATTGTATCTTGAGAGCGATAAAAATTCCTTTGACCCAATCAAAGTCAGCTCTGGGAATAACTCTGACACACCGTCATGATAAGTGCATCTGGATAAGGGGGTTGAGGGAGGGGTTGAGGGGGGGGGAACGCTTGCCGCATTCATTTCAACCGTAAATGTGTGCTTTTCTTCTTGCAAATCATGGTCAATTATCCACAAATCAGTTGAATACTGGTTTAGGAAACTTGACAACAATGTACTAACCGACTGAAATACAAAGCCTGAGAATTGATTCCATGCCCAAGATCGCACTAGGCAGATTGCTCTAATGGGTTTTAGCAGTGGCATTACAATGACGAGGGACTGAAAGTTCCTCATTCCTTTTGGTTTGAGGATTGGTCAAGAAGAATGTGAAACACGACTGTCTGGATTCCTGAGAAAAGGTATAATATCATGCATGTTGCATACAACAATGATTTGATGTTTTTGTCAAGTTCTTTCATACAAATCTTAATGCATTTGTCCAGTATTCATTGTGTATGAGGGCTTGTCTTGAAGCTTCAAATTAAATGTCCTGAACGACTTGTTTGACTATGCACAAATTTCTATTTGGCACTTTATCATAATATTTTCGAAATAAGAATTGGAAATGTTTTCATTAAACTCAGATCCGAATCCTACTTCATACTGATCAAAATATGACCTTGATAAAGGCTAACCTAGAACAGATGTTAGTTAAACATTTATGGGAACAGATTACAGATCAAAGAACAACGAAGATTGAGTTGGAGAAGACATTTTCTTCAATGTCAGACATTTTTATTTCAATCGGCCCAACAACTAAACCGGAATTTTTCTACACCACCAGGTCTGGTTCCTGAATTATTATACCTGTCTGCTCAACCATCAAATAAATAACTTGGACAAAGATACACACTGGGCGGAATAAATGCAAAATAACTTGGTAGTGGTTGTAACAAGGCCGTGTAACCAAGCATTCCTCATAGAAAATCGACCAGATCCTGAAAACTTAAGCACAGCCTATATGCCAAAGTACTTCATCCGTTTACGGCTACGAGCAAAATAACCCCGGGTTCTATAAAACAGAAACATAAATGACTGATTTCGCTTTAGGGGTGGGGCATATATGCACACTTTGCGAAATAGATTTCGGGCAGTACAAAACGGCTTCAAGACACCTAAATGAGGGTCGATGTAAAATGCTTAAGCTGATAAGATAAATATTTTACAATGAACTACTGAATAATTCAGACTGATCATACTGCGATCAAACCAAGTCCTCTCCTAATACTCCTCAAAATAGTTTTCATCGATTCAACACCTTTGGAGGTTGGTTCCAAGATGAGACGGTCGGTAAGTAGAGATGGATTTGCAACGATAGATTACGTTGTGCAATTTAAGGATACAATAAGATAGCTGCGGAAAACGATTTGAGTAGTGCGATTCCATTCCATCCATGCTCTACAAACTGAATTCAATGCTGATTTAGGTGGATGATACTTAACGAAGATGAAGTGAGTCTAGCGCTTTTCAATAATTTGTTTAGTCACATTATTTATATTCGCGGTACTAAAGCCACCTCACGATGCGGTATCACAATTCAATATTTTAGAAAAATACAAACTGATGATGATATACCGAGTAACAGACAGAGAATGACGCATTTAAACTCATCTACAAAGTGCTGAAAAATAAGTGGAACTACATTCGGTGACGTCATTGGGCCACGGCACAAATAGTCACAATCAAATCCTTAAACTCACAACCGTGCAAACAGAATAAAATGATTTCTGCACGCCAGTTGCTTTGGTCCAAACCCAACCTACGTGACGAACCGAACCATGACCTCAATCTTGTCATGATGATGCAAAATGGCGTGACACGTTGCACCTGCAGAAGGACATCGGAAATTTCCAGAATATAACTTGGTCCCCTTTCTCTTTTTCTCCATATGCTCCAATAGAAACTGACTGTTAGGTAAAAAGACTATTTTTACCTAAAACTGACTATTTTTCAAGTGTCTGCAATTCGGAACGTCTCCAATCAATACCAATCTCGCGGAGAATAATCAATCATATCGCGTCATGCGGAGACATTCACTCCGTCCGTCCGATCCGTGATCGATTGAAATTCGCTCACTCCGTGACTTATGATCGATTGAACTTTGATAACTGTACTTGATTGGCATAACCTTTTATCGCATTAATCGATGCCATTTTGAGACACATATAAGCATGAGAGTAAAACTTGTAAATTGACTTGCTTTCCTGTGTGTCGAATACACGTTCGCTGTGCACAACTGTGTTCTTCTTTACGTAGCTGGGAGAAGGCTACTAGTGCTCGTGGCGTCCAATCCGTGTTGTGATCGTACTCGTGAGGCTAGACGAATAGCGTGGCCGTTGAGGTACGTGTGTTCCTCGCTCGTGGCGTCCAATCTGTGCTGTGGTCGTACTCGTGAGGCTAGACTAATAGTGTGGCCGTTGAGGTACATGTGTTCCTCGTGTGTCATCGTGTGATATCTTGTTGTGTGTATATTGTGATCAATCAACGAGATCCGGACACAACACTGACCCATCCTGTTGTTCTTTCCCAGTTAACCTCGATGAACCATTCATGTGTATTTTTACCCCATGTATAAACGCACACAACTGTAAGTGCCTTAAGGCGAAGATGCGAAAAAAAAGCTTGTTTGCTATATTTTTTTCCGTCTGACATCAAATTGAATACACATGGGCCATGGTGACAACGTCGTATTTTGTTTTTGTTTACTACACTGTTCTATTGCAACTTTAATGCTATGTGATCAGTCACATCGTGACTGTTCGTAACCCACGGACTATTCACCTTTCATACACTTTCATATTTAATTTCTGAACTCTTGCTTTTTTCCCTTTGCTTGAAAACTTCCACACTATATTTTCCTATCTGTATTATGTGCTGTTTTTAATATCCGTACATTTTTAGCAATTGCGTGCGTCCCTAACCAGAATCGATTGCACAAAATCAGTTCTGCTCTTTTGCCAAACATTGTGTATGATGATGTATTTGAGTAGGTGGAATTTCGGTAAACCTGAACGATAGTCTCCCCACCCCAGGTAAACCGTTTTATTTTTTTGCCAAAGCTAGTAATTTTACACAAAAATGTTTCCCTTGAAAAATATAATGAACAAATTATATTCCTCAATGTATTCACCCCACATCTAATTAAGTAAATGCTTTTTTATATTCACTAGATTTCCGGCGCTCACCCTTCATAGATGTAGTTATTTCTATCAAAAATGGATGCAAGTGTTTGTATGTTGAGATTTTGGAAGATAGGAATTTGTTGCCGAAAAAGCGTGATTGTTCTTTTGCACTCAAGCAATGAATATCCAAGGGACGGCAAAGACACTACAGTGTCCATAGACGGATTCGTTTTTTATATTGTCGTTGTAAGAAAACGGTGTCTATTTGAAAAGACATATTCTTCGAGAAATATGAGATATCGCCACCTCTTCTTTTGGACCTAATAACGGATTTTGAAGCTAGTTTCTGGCTCCTTGGGCAAAGGAGGAGGGACGATTTGGATGAGTTCAGTAGTGATATTGGTTTAACTTTTCGCCTTCAAATATTGAGATGGAGATTCAAGTATTTTCTGATCCCTTAAGTGGGAGATATCACATTGAATAACGATATTTTTCATCATAATACATATTTATATCCACCTTCTGGTCTTCTGATTATGATTTTATTTTCAAACGAACTCACTCTACTTATAAGTAGTAAGTACATAATTGCAATTTTTGGTTATAGTGGGATGTCAGGTCGACAGGANACAGGAAAATGTATCCTACTATTTCCATTGTCATTGCCCATTGTGCTGCTTCCCAGTCAAGTTATGTAGAATATGTTCAAAGGATGAATTTTCAAAACCTCATCTGTAAATATTAAAAGTGGCTCGTTACCTGTATGACAGCAGGAGGAATTGAACAGTAGCCAGCCAATTCTTCCAAATGTTTCGGTAGAAAATTGCAAACACCTATCGAATGAAGAACTCGATATGATCCACTTCCCATAACAGTGGTTTCACTTTCTCTTTTCTGTGAGGAAATTTCCCGAGCAACAGCAGGTTCATTCATAACCATGGATTCTAAAGCCAGCCAACTTTCTCGTCTGATATCCTTGCCATAGCCCTGAGCTTCGACAACTTTCCCGTGAGATGGGTCTTGGAGCCCCGGCCAGTGCATCATATATAAATCGATGTATTCCGTATCCAGTGCGTTCAACGACATATGGCAAGCCTTGGTTGCAGCAGTGGCACCATACAATTTTGGAGCTGAGCAGAAATAGAGAAAGAATTTTGCTACGTTGGCCAAGTATCACTTTTACACATTCCTGTGTTTATATTAAGATATATATATTCTATTTCGCTTTTTCGCCAAGCTTGGCAATTTGTTTGCAAATGTTTCATCATCAGCTGAGGTGACATCATCGGTGCTTGTAAAAGAAAGTTGAAAAGTATCTCCTCACATTATTTTCTCGCAACGGATGCACCCGCAAATTCATCAAAAGAACTCAGACTGAAAGAGAAGACCAAACAACAGACGGAGAATAGGAAACAAGAACGACCCTGCTGTACATCAAGGACGTTTCGGAAATGACAGCAAGACTTATCAAATCATATGGAATCCAAGTCACCCAAAAACCGACCGCCTATTAAAGGAGACTTATCTCAAAAGCAAAGGATAGAATAATGGAGAAGGACAACAGCAGTGTTATCTATAAAATAAATTGCAAGAACTGCCTAAAACACTAGATCCAACAAACTGGAAGAAAACTGTCAGCAAGGATCCGTGAACACCAATAGGCAGTCAGGGGACATGACCCACTATCGATGATTCCCCTCCACTAAGATCGAGAAGGATATCAATTTGACTTCGAAACGGTGAGAATGATCAACCAAGCCCGGTCAAAACATGCCAGAGAACTTATCTAGATTTGACAGTCCTCAACCAAAGCAACAAACAGGCACATCGAACTGGATCACATGTACACGCCAAAGCAACTCAAGGATCAAATGATGCAACATAAAAAGGTCATACAGTGACCTAAGAACAGATCGAAACCGCAATCAAGAAGGAAGGACAAACCCTTCCCACCCAAGCACAAGTTTAACGGCGAACCGAGTTAAACAGATTGAGAATAAGGGATAGAAATGGTCGATCAAGAAGAACACATATATAAAGGAACGGATACAAACAGAAGACTGCCACTTCACAAGCACTGATGATGTCACCTCGGCTGGTGATGAAACGTTTGCAAACAAATTGTCAAGTTCGGTGAACAGGTGAAATGGAATTCGCTTCATTCGGGCTACGATAACCGGTTTTCATTACTTTGTCAATATATGTATATATGTATGATTTACACAAAATCTTAATGAATGCCCACGGGTTTTTAATTTAGTCGGTCTATTTAACCACATGTTCAAACTTTGTTTTAGTACTGTGCCGTATTTTTCGCTTTTTTATTTATTCCCACCTCTTGATCAATAATGTAAGAAACCAAAAATATGGTGCAGGTAATTGAATTATTATTCAAACAGAAACAAGGACTAAGAAGCCGTTCATCATTCTACCACAATAAGTAAACCAAGAGCAACAGCCATGTAACAACGCAGACAAGATGTGTTTTATTACAAGCACGTGGTCTGTGTATGCTCAATTGCGAAATCGTCGCGGGTCCCAGCGAGTCACGCTGTTTCATTGCACTTGTAAAGTTTTTCCTGCAGGTCTCTTTCGACAAACGAAGATTATGCTACTGTTTTCTTACTCGACCAGAGTGAAAATTTTACTGCTTTGTATCATCATTTGGGAGTGTCAGGAAAGCCCCGAAGTCGCACTGATGATTTTGCCTAGCTTGGCTACGAAAAGTCTGCGAAAAACACACTTCCAGCTCGGACAACTCAACAACATCAACATAATTCGTAATGTTGTGGTCAATCTCTGATATAGCAGATACCAAATTACTCGTACGGATTACCGTTCAGAGGAGGTCCTTCTTTACAGAGAAGCAACGTTTGACCAGCAGATCTGCGACTAAATAATTGCTCGACTTACTTCCACCTAATGAGTGTCTTAGATTACAGTCTTCAATTTGATCAGGGGAAGAGTAAATAAACGCAAACCAAGGATTGCTTCTAGATGGAGGCTGACTCTTTCTGAGTGCACAAGATTGAAGCAGCTGTAGGAACATGACCTTGATTAACAAGAAAATCTCACTGCCTCCTTGCCTGATTCAACAAATGGTAGGTCCAGCCACTCCGATGTGACCGAGACTTACTTGTCGCTATCCCCAACTCACACCTGCAGTTACCAGCGGCCGCAAAAGCGGCTGCAAAAGACAGTAACATCAACCGTATCTGTCCCCTGACCGGAAGATCCATTTAAAAGGAATAATGCTATCTTTTTAACACATACTTCGGGGATGAGCAAACAGTCACAAAGATCTGCTGATTAGATAATGGAAACAAGTAACCTAAGCCCTGGAACTTGGATCGACGAATCACATTGGGCCCCGCTAGATTAAGAGTGGTTTTGAATCGGACGATAACAAAGTTGTCCACTACCAAAGTTGGGTGGCGAGGCTCAAACTTCAAACCGTAGGGTCTGAAGCTCACCGGTGACAGCGACTGAACCACTGAATCACTACCGTTTCCCACTCCACTAAAGCCCTTAATCCACGTCCAAGAGCCACGAAAGGCAATCGAGCACTCTAGACGGTCTGTTGCGCCGGGTGATCGAAATCCGTTACATAGTTATAGGGGCTGCAGTGGAAGCAACCGAACCTCTTGTAGTATGACCAGTAACTATGAGTTAGACGCAACAGATAGCGTCTCGTATAACCGCAAATTTGAGCATCATGCTTAGCATTATAAGCCTGGCTGTTCACAATACCAATTCCCCCGGGGAAACTCTGCGGCTGACGAATTATGACCACCAGGTGAACGAGGTCTTGAGAGACCCGGTTCAACTGGTGACGTGTGCGCTGGCAGAAAATTCAATCATTTTTTGGGTTCTCCTCGTAAATTACGATTGGCTGAATTCACTGGAAGTTGAAAATTTATAGATTTTTGGATGTTTTTACTGAATACAGACCGTTCATCATTACCTTATTTTCTCCGGTAAATTATTAGTATCCATGGGAAATCAAACATTTAGGCTGTGAAACATTTCAAGAGATACCCGTGCCGGGTCTTAGGTGTCGAAATTCCCATTGGTCAAACTAACCAGTAAGACGAAAACCCACAGTTATTTTTAAATTAAGGTGATATTCATCTAATAATGCCAGCATTTGTAAAATTCTCCAAAGTCAACCATGTCCCATAGTTCCCGAAATTTTTGTGGTATTTGCATAGTATTTCATAATCAGGGAACCGTGCGACAGCGTTTTGTCTCATTATGCATCGATCGGGTTCTTCAGCTGTGGACTTCTAATGGCCTAGAGTGTAAACAGTTTAAGAGCTATAGACACAAGTCCAGCAATAGGCTAAGGTTCGGTACATGACATACTTCTTCAGTATACACATTTAGACAAATCAGGTGCCAATCCTGAGTCAAATGAAGGAATAAGTTTACTTACGCATGTTGATTATTTTGTAAGGTGGTTAGAACCCAACCCAATCTATCGGCGTTCTCTGAAGACCGTAGCTTACGCGTTTCTCAGCCAATGAGTCGTACTTTTCGATCGTTTTGCGATCATCACAAGTGACCGCGGGATGCGCATTGAAGGATCTTTTTGTTTACAAAGTTCTATTTACCTCAAGAATGCAACATATTAAAACTATAGTCTAGCACCCAGCTTTAAATGATATCATTCAACTTCTCCATGAAAATATTAAGGTTACTCTGCAGGCATTCAAAAACCGCCTGGGTCGAAAGTGTTGCCTTGCGCAGCATTTGTGATTCGAGTCGCCATAAAAAGTCATTTGAAGTCATCACCAACTAAATAGGTGTATGGGTTTTGTCTCAGTCTACCTAGCAAACAGCTGCCCCATTGCAGTGCAAAGTTCGACTGTAGCGATTGATGGAGCATATTAAAGACCAGATGCACCAGCTAGGGTATACGACAGCGTAGAAGCAAATGGTGAATGAACATTAACTTGCCACCTTATCCACTCGTGCGTAAGTTTTTCTTGGAATAAATACTGTACGCCATTCATCAAAAACGCCACGTTACGTCAGATACCGTTTGGGCAAGACCGCGATCACCCACAAGGAACGCAAAAATGACAGTATTTCGTCAGAATACCTAAAGTCAGCCTTTAACAAAGCATTAAAACGTCGTAAACTAGCCTATAACGCAATCATCAGTAGAGCATAACTTGCTGTTTTAAATACAAGCCTTTTCTGTCTCTGACTCGTTTACTGTTGTGCTACAGAACGATTCAATTTGCTCGACTAATAATGAACTGTTAAATTCAATCAGACAAATATGACGTCAGTCTGAATCCCTCCCCCTGGTGCCTGAAAATAATAGATTTACTGACCACGCACGTTCCCTACTTTTTTAAAAGACTGATGACATAGACAACATAGACTTAACAACTTCCTGGAAACTTTCGTCACTTAACACATTGCTAATGCAGGACTTCTGACAGCACGTTCTTTCACCTCAAATAACTGTAAACTTCTCCCTAAAACATACATTTTATCTACTTCTAAGCAACATCCTAGAAGAAACACCAAGCAGTTTATAAACATAACAAAACTTGCTACAAACTATAATTTTCGGGCTGTTTTAGCCAACAAATTCTGTGGCAATGCTATGCGTGGTGCATTTTTGATTGGACATCAACCTCACGTCAGTTGAGCAAAACTACTGGAATAACCATCAATACCTTTCCCGTCTGCATACTATAGGATAAGGTCCCCTGAAATTGTTAAAATTTAGTCGCGGTCAAACGAGGCAGCACTTTCAGCATTTCCCCAAACTACGAACATCAGAAACCTCAAAGCCGATTCATCTCAGCACCATCCAAAGAAGCAATCTACTTTTATAGCTACTAAAACATCTCAGTATAAATTACCCCCCTAATGACGTGGAAAAACTGGACAGCTAAAACTTTGGCGTACATTCAAATCATACCATTTATCGATTAAATCCGCCCTTGGTTCCCTATTGTCTTCTACCCTAACTAGCACCTCCCTCAAGTGTTCGCCCAGAGTCCGACCCTCCCCCACCAATTTTTGTTTCTGCTGTTAGACCTCAAACACTGTTAATCTCTATGGTTAAAATGTTTATCCTGGCGACCCGAAAACTGTCATGGCTTGTACCTCTTTCCTTCGTGTTACAACTGCGGACTGTAACGCTGCTGTTCGATACCACGACTATTCTAATAAAAACACATGACTTTCTGTAATGTACAACTTCCGTGGCAATGTATTTTGTGGCCATGATTTTCTTTGGCTCGTAGGATGAGGGAGAAATATTGTTTGAAGGAAAACGTGAGCCCTTCTCCTCTTAAGCACTTTCATCCGCCAAAACCGAATAACCTATATTGTTTACCCACCTTCCTCTTGATTGTAAAACAAATATGACAAAATCAAGAAAACATGCCGCTGAAGACAAACAGTTCATCAAGTTAGAAATGCAGCATCTTTGAAAAGATGGCAATGCTGAACCTTCAAACTCTCCATCAAGGGCTTGAATCATCATTTTATAAAAATCCAACGGCAAGAAACGAACGTTTGTTGACTTCTTACAGCTAGATACTTACCCAAAACCAAGCACCAATGCAACGGTGAAAACATCTCACGCTCTGTTGGTAACAATATCCTTCATTTGAAAATTGCATACAATCAGATTACCATTGAAGACCACCATATTTACTCTGCTTTTACAGTGCATGGCATCAAGCATAGAAGCTTCTCTGGGAGGCTCCGAGGACTGTTCAGAAGGATTTAGGCACATTTGCACTTAAATCAGTTTTTTCAATGCACGGGACTAGTATCGACGGTTCTACACATCCTACAAGAAGCGCTTAAATGGGATGAACTGTTTCTCTCCCTTTGTTTCAATACAGAGACATAAGACCAACACAATAATGGCTGTTGGTTACCCGTTCTATCATAAACCTACATACTTATTTTGTGTCTACTTGTCTTCACGTCCAGTGGTTTCTCATCACCAGATATGGTTTGGAAACGTGGTAGTATTTCCTTCAAGAGCAAATGATGAACAGATTTCTATTTTATTCAATCGGTTTTACCGTAATTCGGCTGGTACTTGGTCTGAACTCACAAGGATGTGAAACAAATCATAATATAAAGGAATAATGTATAAATTCAGCAGTTGTAAACTTGAGCTTATATTTCATCTTCATCGAGAAATTCAATAATATTCATAAGTCCCTTGTTCCAATTTTCTCTTTTATATATAAAAAAGAATAACATACATTATATATGTAATATATTACATACATATATATATATGTATATATGTATAAATATATAAATGGATGGATGGATATATATATCCATAACATATTATGAAGTCGACCTCTTTTACGGCCACAAACCGCCGATGTTAATGGTAAGACAAAGTTATATTATTATCTATTTAACTGCTAACAGTTCCTGAGTGTTGTTGACATGCCAACAAGTTTGCAAACTTACGCAGTTTTGAGGATATAAATAATGTCTTGCGAGATAGAGAATGCTTTGGCATAAGCATTTTTAAGGCAGAACCGATTCGTCTTTCGTTGTGGTAGTATGCCGCAGTATCTGATGTTTTGGAGTATTATATCAGAATATATAGTTCAATCATACTTACCTATGGCTCTATATCCAGCACCAAATGCTGTGTCCAATCCTAGAACAATCTCATCAATAATTTTATATGTTCCGTCTGATTTTGAGATTGGTGAATAATTTTTGTCTTACAAAAAAGGCACGGAATTTGATATCCATTGTACAGTTCGTAAACATCAGCCATCGAAACGTTCGAATTTCGGCGTCAAGTTTATCGTGCCATGACCTTGAATGGTCGGTTCAGTTCAGTCAGTCAGTCAGTCAGTTTGCACAGGACAGGAGATGGCCACGGCCAATC